CAAGTTACATAATATATAAAAGGTGAACGGAAATTGTATATAATTAATAATTAATAAAATTATATATATATAAATTCTTTTCAAAACACCTTATTTCCGTTTTTTTTTAAAAAAAAATATTTTAAATTAAAAAATCCCGACCAATACAACTTCAAATTAGGAGGATGTTAGAATAGTAAAAATAAATAAATAATACATTATAAAGTAAGTGGATTCATGTTTTGTGACAATTTTTAGTTGAGTTAGTTTTGAAAATAATATCACATTTCACATATTTGATCTTTGGTTAATTTTTTATTTGTTTTTTTTGTTTTTTTTAAATTTTTAATAAATAATATTGATATATGCTTCTTAGTAGGGCCATATTTTAAAGTTTTGAATGTGTTAATATTATATTATATGTCCTATTAAAAAAAATTGTTTTTTAGACAATTATAACTATACTATACATAAATTATATGTATAAAATTTTATTATGCGGGTTTTCTTCACTCAGTAACATGTGCCTCCTTTTATTTTTAATTATAAGCATCATGTAATCTACATATTTTTTTTAAAACAAAATAAATGTGCTAATATGCGGAGAGGGTAAGAGAAGCATTTGGCAAAACATTTTGTTATATAAGATAATTTACGAATAAAGACCACATGCATTTATCCACCTAATAACATTCGTTGTGCTGCAATAGTTGTTTTTATGTTTTTTTTTAAGAATAAATTTTAAAAAAAATCAAAAACAAAGCCAATTTTACTAAATAATAAACTAATCCATACTTTAATTATAACAAGAATATATATGGTTTTATTTTTAATATAACTTCTTATATTTTCGAAATATATATGCATGCTTTTCAATTCTATACAAACAGAGACAGGTTTCATAATTCAATAATAAAACTATTATTAACACGGAAAAACTTATAGTTTTAAAAGTAAATAAGAACCAAACCACTAATTTGTAAACCATCGAGTAGGGATTTTGGGAATTAAAATCTTTCAAAGACACGCAAAGGCTACATTTTAGGGCAGCCGGAAGATCCGAAGTAAAGTGAAATATTGATTGATGCCCTGTTTGGTAGATTAAAAATTTTATTATGAGCAAAATAAGAGCTATATTCTTTAAAATAAAATTGTATAAAGAGAGTTAGGGGTTGGGGCTTCTTTTTAGAAGTTGAAACGAGCCATTTACAAGCCACTTTTATAATTCATTATGAGACGGAAATCAGAGTTTAAAAAAAGGTTTAAAAAATTCTTTGACCAATAATCTCTTAAGAATTTTTTTTTTTTAAATTTGTGATTTTTCACCTTGAAAGACTTTTAATGTACGAAAATGATAAAATGTTTACATATAAAAGTTATTTTTACAAATGAAATATTTGTCATTTTTAGGTAAAATTTGATCAAAAATAATTTTTCTTCTTGAGAGCTCTTGACGAAACAATAAATTTTAAAACTAATTGAATCCCTTATAAATTAATATAATATGATTTTTATATTCAAAGTTTTTGATCCACATTCCCTGGTATGGCTCACCCTTCCCCGAAATATATTTTTTCGATAAAATTAATATTGTATTGAAAAGGAAAATATATAATATTCCATCCTTATTTAATTAATATTTTTATAGAATGTAAAAGCAAGTGATATATTAATTGGAATTACTGAGTTTCCCTTTTGCTTTTTAGGCGCTTTTATTTATATGTGTTTATTATATTAAAATGTTTATAACCCTTATTTCTTTTCAAGATTCTGAATAGTTGTATAAATAGTGATTTTTTAGAAATTAATAAAATGGGAATAAGTTACACTTTTAAGCATATTTTAATAATATCAATACCTCTTATCTAAAAATCTATATATCTTAAACAAAAGGCAAACATAGTATCCAGGCTGTTTTTCCTAATATATTTCAGAAGTAAGAAACAAAATTAAGACGAAGTAGGAAGTTACATAGTAGTGATCTGCATAGGGCCTAATTTTTCAATCCTGGCCACAAATTTAAAAAAAAAGGTTCTGCTAGCTAGGCCCAAACCCAAAATAATTTGCCGGCCCTGCCCGAATTTATTTAAATATAGAAATTATTTTTTTTTAAAATTATAATTTAAATTTTTTAAAAATTATCAAAAATTAAAGATATATGTTATATTGCGTCTAGTTTCCATAAATAAAATCAATATTTTTATTTTACATAAAAAATTCTAAAATTTACAAATTCAGATATATTTAAAAAAGTTTCCAAGGCCCGACTCTACCCGGCCAGAATTTTTTTTATAAAATATTAGGCCCGGCCTGGCCTGAAGCCCCTTTGGGCCGGGCTAGGTTCACACCGGACCTACTTTTGCTGATTGCTAATACATAGCCTTAAGATTGTTTTAATTACTCAATTTCAAACCAAAAATTTGTCAGTAAATAGTCACTATGTAAAGCCACAATGCGTATTGCAGTCCTAAATGTGATTAGAGCACATCTGACATATTTTTACCTTTTATATAGTATTATACACTGTATAAAAAACATGAGAAGGCTATTTATTTTGAAAACAATCAGAATAAAATGGCCCACACTTATTTTAATTGAGCTCTGAAGTTGAAACCATAATTTAATGAAAGATTTTGGACATTTGTAATTTTATAAAATTATAAAAATATATAAATTTTTAGGGTTTAAAAAATATATTTAGGTCATACCCGAAAACAGGCGCGTGACCAAGGGGGGAAATGGTAAATCCCCCACCCCACATATAGCAAATTTCCTATACTCGTAAATATCATTTTAAGATAATAAAAATTTCTCTCTTACACCCTTCTCTACCCTCCTCTCCCCCAAAAAATGTATACAATATATCACTATAAGGAAGAATTTGAAAGAAAAATCAGTAAAAGTTAACGACAAAAATTCAAAATTTTTATGAAAAAAAACATTTTAATATATAAAAAAAGTGAAACCTCTAAATTATTTTTAAAATAATATAATATAGCCAAAGGGTCTACAATAAGTGAACCTATAGATCTCCAATAAAACGTAAAGGGAAAAAATTCATCTAATAGTGCGTCCTCTTTATGAAAATATTGGCTACGCCTATGGCCTAAAGTATAATGCGAAAAATGAATTTTTATTTAGTTATATAACGGTATTTTGGAGCTTGGGATCGCAAATGTCCCTCGCTAGGGTTCTTAAAAAGCCCGATTCGGATCGATTATTAAAAATGACCCGATTAAGATTTTAGTCAAAATAATATTATGTATAAGCCTGGGAGATTTTGCTCATAGATGGTGAGAAAGGTTTGGACCTCTACAAATCTCGAATCTTGAATTATTATTATGGCTAATCGGGCTCTTAACAACCCTACTCACCTATAATCATGCGAGAAACTTTTGTTCCAACTGTTTTTAGTATATTAATATATTGGTGCCATTTTAAAATAATTTTTTTTCAGTTTTTTTTTGTGATTCTTTTGGCAAAAGTTGTCATTAAAATTTAAAAAATAACAACTATATCTTGAAATAACAAAGCCACTAAATTAGATAATTATTTAAAATGTATTTAAAATATGGAAACTACGAATTATTTCGGTCCCAAAGATAGAGCGTATATAAATTAAGGTCCAGGGAAGGGGGCCCCTTCTACTCTCTAATTTTTTCGTCCATTTATTTTATTATATAGAGTAATAAAACCTTCAAAAATTTTAGACAAAAAATATTTATTAGTTGACAGATCAACCATATCGTTATTTGGTTTTATTGGAATGTCGATCGTTTAGATGGGCGTTGTCCTATATTTCATTATTTTTATTTTTTTTTCCAACTTAAAATCAATTATGGACAGCTATTTTTTAAATTTTTTTTTAAAAAAATCTGAAATTGTAGAAAATGTATAAATCAATATGTGTAGAATACCTAACCTTATAAATTTCAATTTTTAATATATATATTTTTAAGAAAAACAATATTTAGTAAATTTTATGAAAAAAAAAATTAATTTGTGAATTAATATTATTTGAAATTTATAGCATAGGTATATTCTACACATATTGTAACACTTTCCCGCCAAAATTAGTTTTTTAAGTGAAAAATAAACCGGATCAATAAGAGATTTTTTTTTTACCAAACTATCTCATTAATCTTTCTTGATTTGGCGGACTTAATTAATGGTATATTTTGTCCAATAAAATATAAATACTCTGCAACATAACCTAAATGATTAGAGACCACTGGTGATGATCGTTTTCAGTGCTTTTAAACTCTCTCCCTCTAATTCCAACTGTCGAGGAACTTAATTTCTACCAAAAAAAATTTTTTTTTCATTATTATTAAATATAACATTCATTCCCCCGTCAATTAAAATCTACGATTGACATTTATTTTGTATAAAGGATAGCCTAATAAAAATAATTGATAATAATTTATTATTACATGTTTTATATTTAATCAATAATTATGAGGTAAAAAAAATGATTCTTAATTCTTGTAGATTAACAAGTTTTCAGGAAAAAAATTACGTAACGAAAAAAAATACATAAGTGTTTACTTGACACATGGGTTAATTATTTTTACTCCGGTAATAAAAAAAAAATAGAAAATAAAAACACAATTTATAATGATATTACATATTATAAATCTATTATCTCTTTTGAAACTCCTTTTATTTTATTTTTCAGATTCCGTTTTTTATTATTATTATTATTATAAAAAACAAAAATATTGCAGAAAATCATATTAAATTTATTGTCATTCAGTTTGGGGTTTGGACAAAAAATTTTTTTTTTACCTCAAAAGAAAATATTAAATAAAAAATTATTTAAAACAGTATGTGTTTTTCTTCTTGTACCGATCTTGACCAAAGGTATATAAAGTCTTAAAAATTAAAGAAAAAATTTATAAATCAATTTTAAAAATTTATTATTAAAAAAAAATTTTAATTTCGTATTTTATTTTATTTAATTTTAAAAAAAAATTATAATTTTTTTGCATAATATTTTATATAAAACGAAGTAACATATAATGATAATTCAAATTCCTACTATGCACTGTTACGATGCTACCTCTGCAGGAACAGGGCTTCAACTGTTCGAAAATGAAAGAAGCTTTAGCCATTCAACAGAAGATACAAATATAAACGATGAGATCCAGTCCTCGATTGCATCTATATTACCCCAAAGCGCTTCTATCTCGAAAGGTGGGGCTAAACGAGTCAAGAAAGACAAAATTACCACCAAAATGATGCCCTCTCCACAAAACTTCAAATTTCGAAACAACGCGCGGGAGCGAAAAAGGACAGCGATGATGGGCGAGGCATTCACACGGCTCAACAGTATGGTGCCCAGCGAGCCGAAAAGGTTTACTCGCATGAATACTCTCAAGGGAGCCATAGAATACATCAATTTTCTCAAGGATATCTTAGGTTCCGATCAAACACTCAAATCTCAAAATGAAAACCAACCCAACGGTCACACCGATTCGGTCAATGTTAAAAGAGATGATGATGAACTGAATTTGGAGGAGCTATTAATGGTAAAGGATGGAGAGAACACAGATGTGTATGACCTGAACAACGTAAACTTCGATATTACCAATTTTAGCGGGCCATCGAACAATAATTTCAATTGTTCTTTCGATTATTATGGTTTGGATACAGATATTGAGGATATCTTGATGGGATGTATTAAGCAGGAAGGAAATGACTTTCTTTTTTAGTGACCTGTTTCTCCTAGTATATCATTTATATTACAAAACGTTTCGAAGCAACTTAAAAATAGGTATAATGAATAAATGTGATTTTTTTAAATAAAATAAAATATTCATTATTTTTTTGAAGAGACAGGCGAATATATTTATATTATAATTTTTAATCTTTATTTTTATTAAATTTAGTCTTCTTCTAGTGATCGGAAAGAAATGGCCCGAATATGCAGAATCATTACGAAATATTTTATGTTTATAATTTATACCTTAAAAATAAAAATAAATTGCAATATAATTATATAAATGTCAAATTTTATTTTTTTACATATTAAAATTAGAATATGTTTATTTTTTAAATAGTATGTGTATATATAATATCTATTATTAAAAAAAAATTGTTTCATATATATATATTTATTTATTAATATTTATAAAGGCTGACACGTGCAATCAATTATTGATTATTGAAATTTTTTTTTGTAAATTTTATTTATCAAAGTCGAATATAATAAAAATCTATTATTTATAAACTAAATATAGAGTTTAGTATTTAAAGCCATTTTTCGAAGTAAAAATGACCACCTCCCTCCTTTTTCAAAAATTTACCTGACTATATAATTTTAACCTATTTTTTTTTAATTAAAGAAACTTTCATTTAAGTGTGATTTTTTTATATTGAAAAAAAATGATGAAATTTTGAGAGAGTCAAGATACTAATAAATTTAAAATTTTAATATACTTAACCCCAAATATCCTTAGGATAGATTCTTCCTCTAACTAGCAAAAAATTGGTATATAGGGTAAGAGATTATACTTGAAAATTTTTAAATGCTTATAATAACCATACCTGGATGTTTTTCGTTAATATAATTACTTAGGCATGTCCAAATAACGTATATATATTTTTTGCTATATATAAGAATCAAATCTAACTTTCTTTGTTTTCCCCTTTAATTAGATGGCAATGCAATCCAATTAATTCAAACACCCACCAAGTCATTATATATTTTTTTAAATTTAATATAATGGGAAAAAAATATTAAAACCATGTTTAAATTTAGTTTTGGTATAATCAAAGATTTTATACTTAAATTTTATTTTCAAAATAAAATAAAACGGATGAGAAAATAGGGATTTTTTTTTTCAATTTAATCCTTGCAATATAAGTTTCCTGTCAGTAAAATGATAATTCACAATAAAAAAAATCAGTTATAATATAAGAATTACAATATGGCTTTTAGTCTTATATTTTGAAAATTCGCTTGACTTTTATTTAATACATATTATTCTTGGTGCCAAATAAATTCCTTAATTCACATTCCGCCAATCACAAATATTTTATATAATATGATAGACACATTTTGAACAAATTTTTAATTTTTGAAATCTTATTTTTTTTTAAAAAAAAAATAGGTTTGATTTATTTTTTATTCTCTTCATTTTAAAAATTTAAATGGAAAATTCTTTCGAAAATAATTACGATTTCAAAAAGAGAGAAATCATCTTTAAGGCCGAAAGTGTGGTAAATATTCCCAAACATTGCAAGAAATCCCACAAGAAACGGCAGCACAAAGAGACCATTGCCATCAACCGCGTCGCGAATACTCCTAATGTCGCCACGAGAGAAAGTAAGAAAAAACGCAATAATAACTCTTACTACGCGAATTGCAATCAATCTAACGCTAACGGGCCTTCCCCCTTGATACCACGTATCGATTACAATTTATCTCCCAGTTTTAATTGCCCTTTACCCGATCTGATTTTAGAAAAATCTAAAAATTTGAAAGAAAAAAAACATGTATATAGTATAGTTGGTGATTTAGGAATGAGGATAGAACCCGCAAATGAAAAGATATCTTCCTTAGAAGAATTTCAAAATCAGAGAATCATGGCTAACGTCCGAGAACGTCAAAGAACCCATTCTCTCAACCAAGCTTTCTCAACTCTCCGGCGCATCATTCCCACTTTACCTTCCGACAAGCTCAGCAAAATACAAACACTCAAGTTGGCCACTAGGTATATAGCCTTCCTGTATTACGTTTTAGAGGACGACGAAGAGAAAGAGTCAAGCCGTGCGGCATGCAACGATAATTGCACTTCTGAGTTTTTAAGAAGGAGGAAGGATCTAGAACCGAAAACGAGTTACGAACTCAACTATTATACTTCCGGCATGTCGTCAGAGATTGCTAAAAGAGATGAAGAAGAAGGATTCGACAAAGTTACCAGTAATAACAGAAGATTCGTATCGAGTATGGGGTTAAGTACCTTGAGCGATGCTACCTTGGATATCAGTAACGATTTGGGTTACTGTTTTGCGCTGTGGCGGATGGAAGGATCAAAACATATATCGAACTCACGACCCTCACATGATAATATTCAAGCAATTATGTATGAGTGATAGAAATATATTTATTTAAGGTTTGAGTATTTATTTATTTAGATCTGATATTTATTATACCGTTATACATAATATTAAATTATAATGATATAATTATAGAGCTGTAATAAAATTAATTATGTGTTTATTATAGAAGAAAAAAACAACTTAAAAAACACAATATACCCATTACACATTTCCTGTTCAATTTAGTTTCAATATCTTATGTTAGAAATTTTTTTAATTTTCCACTAATTGTTACTGAACCATTAGAGCAATATTTTGATTGACCTATAATAAACTTATAACATTCCAAACCCTCCACATTTTCAAGAAAAAAATATTATGAAAAATCTGGATTTACAGATGAGACAATTTTTACATTATTAGAAATCATAATATATATTTTTTTTATTTTAACCCTCAGTGGGGTGACAAGCGTTTTAGAATTAATATTACATAAGAACGGTTAATTATTATGATCTAGAATCTTCAGTAGCTATATTAAATTTATCTTGGAATAAATACTCCAAATTTTATTGATTTTTGTTCAGTAGTTTTTTGCTTGCTCAAATTAGATTTAGTATACTATACGAATACATTAGAATTCTAATTTTTGGGGTCGTTAATATAAGCGGCTATAAAAAAAAATAGGTTCTAGAAGATTATACAGACCTCTATAAGTCATGGAATTTGATGAGTGGAAAATTTTTTCCCCAAAAATAAAAATTTTAATTACTCTTAAACATGTTCGAGCGACACCTAATAATTTATAAAAAAAAACTCATGAATTTATTTATTTTTTTTAAAAAGAATAAATTAGACATTTATTATAATCTTTGTAATAAAAAAGTAACAAATATGTACTTTATTTTATATAAAATAAACCAAGGAATATATGTGGAAATCGAAATATTATTTTAAGTTCACTAAAAAGTATATTAGGTTAGGAATGTGCACCTTTGAATCTCGTAATGATTTAGTTTTCACTCACCAGGAAACAGGGAGATGTGCCATAAATGGCCATGTTTGAAGATGACCACCACCCTTTAACTTTTTTTATTTATTAGATCAATTTTTCTCCAAAATTCGTCAAAATATATATATATTTATGCTATGTAACTTACTTAATTTCATTTATTATATAGACCAATCGAATAAAAAAAAATATATTTTAAATAAACTGTTTTTAGTATACCTCTTTCCAGAAAAATCACATTACACATTTTTTTATGGGGCAAAAATCACTAATTTAGCTTATACTGATATTATATAATGCCTATTATTCTTAGGCATTTAGCATCATTCACATATAAAAAAATAAAGCTTGCAAGTTTTATATAATAGACATATAAAGGCCCGGAATAATAATAGACAAGTGAATATTGACCGGCCATCTTTCATGCATTCATATTGGAATGAAAAGCTCTCACAAAACAAAGGGTAATTTTATATTGAAATAAGAATGTTTAACAAAAAGAGAGTTAAGATATTAATTTATAAAATATTACCATTCAATATTTGATGATAAATTGAGATGTTTTACTAATTAAATTAGGGTATTATAATTTAAAATTGATCGGCCAGAAAAAACAACTCCACATAACCTCATCTAGCTCATAAACCATCATAGATAGAGCTATGGTTCAAATTTTATTTTAAAGATTATGAAATGGGCTACACATTCACATAAAATTTATTTGGTTAAACCCAAATCTTAATGCATATTTTTGAAAAAAGCAAAAAACATGGCCATTTATGGCACATCTCCACTACATGATGAGCTTCTTGTGAAGGTAAGGCAGGATCGCGATGATTATTCTCAAGTCCGGAGATGGAACGGGAAGAGAATGTTTTAAAACCGGAAACATTTATGATACGAGAGGAAACAGGAACACGATTTGAAAGAAAAACATTTTGGAACTTTCCGGTGATTTAAAAAAAACACTTAAACTCAATAAAATCGCTTAGTAAAAGCAAAATATAATAATAAATCGATGTTGTTAAACGACTCGATTTAAGCCGATTTTTTTTAAAAGAGCCTACTTAATATTCTATCCAGAAAAACGTTACACAAGCCTGAAGATTTTGCTCATAAATGGCAGAAAAGTTTAGACATCTATTAGACAAATCGCGAGACTTGGGCAATATTTTCCTGACAAAAATATTGAGTTAACAGTTTTCAGAAAAAATCGGCCCAAATCCGTTTAACAAAACTTCCAAAGAACACACTTTTTAATTTAAAAAAAATCTATCACTTAAAACACAAAACAATCAATCTTAAAATGTCTACCAAATTCCTGATCCAAGTTTTCTCATTATGCTGATATTGGCCAAGGGTCGGGACCCTGACAATATAGCTATTCTCTGACAGTACCAGAACGTTCCGAAAAATTATGTATGATCATTGGAAAAGAAAATCTTTAAATTTAAAACCTGAATCTACGAAAGAAAATACAATTCATATAAATTTTATTTTTTTAAACATTCGTAAAATTGATAAATATATAGCATTTATTTATATCATATCTCACTATAACGCAGTGTAAAATTAGCGTCACTAAAAAATGAGGTGGGAGAATTTTTAAGTAAAATAAGTGGGAGCGATACCTTTTTGGAATATTGTTTTCATCAGAATAATATAATTTAGTCAAAAAATGGGAGCAAAGACGTCGTTATTTTTGTAAAATAATACATGACATCCAATTCCAGTACAATAAAGAATGATATAATAATATGACAAAATTTGCTGTAACTCATCTTATTCAGTAATTTTTATATATATGGTGAGTGATAATTATATTTAAACTATAAATATTTGAAGATAAGGCTTACACTTGAATCCGTCATAATGACGTTCTATAAATACCACGATCATATTCAACAATATTTAATACGGAATTAAATTTACAATATTAGAATTCTTTCAAATCATCGGGGACATTTATTGACCTCCCATTCAAATCCATATATTATTTCCTCATCATTTCATACAAGATTCGCTTTATGCAAATATGATCCATACAGATAGGATAGCTAAATAGATAAGATCGCGTAAATTTAATATGCAATATTTGTAATCATATAGGAATAGGCATCTATTAACCTATTACGATTTTCTAATAGGTAAGGAGTTAATTCTCGTTGATTTTGTGTCTCTCATTTTTCCTTCAATATTTTATTAAACCAAATTTATTTAATTTCCCTAATGTTTTGAGCAATTTCCATATTTAAACATTCATGTGGAAATTATAAAAAGTATTATAGCATCTATATTAACCAAGGATATCCGCAAACGACTGTAAAGAATCGTTTTCCTAATTGAATTTCCAGCTTTAGGCAAACTTATTGTTATTGTGTTTGAAGCCTTAAATGATTAGTTTATAGAAATAGAACCTCTCATATCAAGGATAGGATTTAAAAAAATATTTTTTACAGATTTCATGGGTACAAAGTTTTATAACCATTAGTGCCATCGCTGAAAAAATCTCTTCTTTAACATAAGATAGAACTCTAGAAGCCTGAAGGATTAAGGGATCTTTTAAACTATAAATATAAAATATGCACCTGCTGCATTTAAAAAAACTTATAACCAGTTTATAAAAATATTTTTGACAGATCAAAGAATTTAATAAATTAATATATATTATATTCAGACAAGCTAAACTTGATCCCTGGTTCTTTAGTTTAAAAAATGATAGATAATATATCTATCGCAGATGATTAGATGTAGCCTTATGGTCACCCCAAGCGACGAGAAGAAGTTATAACTTACAAACTGTACTCAATGAAGCCATATAATTTTGCCACGCGACTTTACAATTCAAATCTACATCTAAGCTACCTAAAGAATTTCAAGTATATAATCCCATTTTTAAAATTCTTGTGAGGTGTTCATATTCCACAAATGAGCTCTTGAGGGTTAAGATATATAATTTAATTTTAAATAAAAATATTACTAAAAATGGAAAGATAGATGTTCAATTTATTTTGTTTATATATTCCATTGCTATCTTTATAAATAACCGATTTTGAACTTAATATTTTTTTTAAAACTACTTAAAATTTTTTTTTTATTACTCCTTTATATTTATAATTCTTACTTTTTATTCCTATCAAATATATTTATATTAATTTAACCATATTGAGTATTTAGTGGTTTTTTTTTAAAAAGTTTTGTTTTGATACAAGCAATTTTTACCGCAAAACGTTTTTTAAAAAATATATTTAGATATTAATACCTTTTCTTTCTTTAAAGAGAAAAGGGTCTTCTTCATTAATAACATAATTTTATTCTTATTTTTAAACTCTTTTTGAACTTTTTTATAATCTCTCTTTCCCAATTCTTGTAATTAAACTTGGCCGGATAATAAAATTACAAAGAAGGAGCAAAAGTGTTTTTATTTAATTTCATATTAGAAAAATAATTTTTTTTTTAATTTTTAAATCAAAACATAAATCCCTTCTTTCTTTTTTTTTGCGTTTTAAAATAATTTCCGGTATTAAAAAAAAGGATTTAAAACAACAGACCAGTCGACGGGCCATGAAAACTATCTTAAAATGTGTTTTAGTAGGCCTAGGTTTAATAAATTAGTATCGCTACGCCCCTAGTTCAGAATTAGGTACGAACCTTATGGCCGGATTTGTTGAATTCGTTGCTATTTTTTTAAACACAAATTGATTTTTTTTCTAATTTTAGAAATGTATCTTTGGACAAATACATTTGATTAGTTCCTAAATTCGGTAAGATTGAGCTATGATGAGATATTTAGTATACTCTTTTAGATAATCGTTTTTGTTTAAAGGGGGGGAGGGGAGGGATATCACAAAGAAACTTCTGTTTGTCCTGCCTATTTTGAAGTCAAAATAGACAAAATCGTCAATTTACAGTTTTTATATAGTGTGTACAATTGCTATAATTGGGTAATTGCTAAGCTAATTCGGCTCAATCTGCAGGCGCTTCCGTTAACATTAAGGTGTTAATTTTTATTAGTTTCTTCCAAATTTGAGCTTCTATCTTTTTTTAAAAAAACCCTAAGATAAAGTAATAGTTTTCGGCTAAAAAACTTTGTTTAGCCTGTTTTTTTAACCCGGCTAAAAATTGACTTAAACGGTTAAAAGTATAATAATTACTCATTAATTGCAGGTAGCGGGAGGAAATAATATATTATACAATAGACAACACTCTCGTTGGAAACAGTTATAATTATAAATTTGATGGAAATTTTTTTTTATTTTCTTTTTTTTAAATTTCGGAAGAAAAGGAAGCTTTTCAACAAATTTTAAATTTTTTTTTTTACAGTTTAAAAAATAAAAAACACATTTGTTTTCAATTATAATGTTAAAAACTCGTATATCAAAAAATATTCGTAATACCATCATCGCATTCGTATTATTATAATTATATATAAATATAATATAACCATATTAAAACTGAAAGCAGAATGTAAAATATAATAATCAAATCAAACAACACATACTTAAAACAATAATACATAAACATAACTACATAATAATCTTATAGTAGAGTTGAAATTTATTTCATTGATTTCCTTTCCTATAAAGTTTTAAATTATAAAGTATAAAATATAAATATCAATAATTTAAGAATTTCGAAATATTGACCAAAATATCTAAATTTTTAGCTGTAAGGGAATAAAGATTGTTCACAATTATGCTTTTCAATTTAAGAAATATTTGGAATGGCCATCCAAACCTTTTAAAATAATTCTAGGAATGTATTGCAAGTTCCAATCCCAGGGGAATATTCTTAAGCCGTTAATTTGATAGGGTATTGGTATTTTGATGGATACATTTTCCACGTTATGAAAAATCTTGATGTATAAATATATTTATTTTAATGAATGGTAAATACAAATCAATTATCAGCTAAGCCTAACGTCAATGAAAAAATTAATATATAAATCAGCCTATCCTCAACAATAATGGTTAAAATGGTGCTGAACTTAGATGGATGTCTTATTTGGTCTTCGCGGTTCGACCTGTCAAAACCATGTGGGCATTAACAATTTTAGAAAAATATATGTAGGGGAGATATGCCATAAATGGCCACGTTTCATGACTGGCCACCACCCTTTAACTTTTTATCTATTAGACATTTCTCTCAAAATTGGTCAAAATGTGTATATTTATGATATGTACTGTAACAAGTTTATTTATTGAATTGAACAATAATAAAACAAATATTTCAAATAAACTGTTTTTAGTACCTCTTTCTAGAAAAATCACGTTGCAAAATTTTTTGTTTGGTAAAAAAAAAATTAATAATTTAGATTACTGATATTTTATATAAATATTATTCTTAGGCATTTAGCATTATTCACACAAAAAAATTAATGCTTACAAGTTTTATTTAATAGACTTATAAAGGCGATGAATAATAATTGACAGATGAGTATTATCTGGCCATGTATTGACTGGCTACAATTCACAATTCATATTGAAACGAAAAACTCGTCCAAAACAATTTGGTGAAATTTTAAATGATGAACAAACTTAAGAATATTTAACAAGATAATTAAGATATTAATTTATAATATTTATTATTAAATAGATGATGATAAATTGATATGTTAATACTAATTAAATTAGTGCATAATTAATTTTTTATATGCCTAAAAAGTGTAGAAATATTAACATAGGTCTTTTACAAGTATTTCAAATTTTAATATTATAATAAAATTCTTAAATAATACATTTTATCCAGAAATTTCTTTTTTACATAACCCCATCTAGCTCATAACTTATATATAGAGCTTTGATTCAAATTTTAAAGATTAGGAATTGGGCTACACATTGATATAAAATTTGTTTGGTTAAACCTAAATCTTAATACCATTTTTTGAAAAAAGCAAAAACATGGCCATTTATGTCACATCTCCCCTACATTCAAAAATCCCTGCACATAAACCTACTAGTCCTGGACAGGGTTGCTAGGTAAAAATTATTAGATTGTGGAAGATTTATGTAATAAAAAAATTTAGGAGGGGCTTTGCCTTTAAACAAAAAGAAAACTAATTTCTCACCTAAAATAATACTAATTAAGGATTTCTTTTTTAAATATCTATAAAAAATATAGGAGAGAATTTATTCCTAAAAAAAATTATTTTAATGATGTTTGTTTTACCATTTTAAAATTCATATAAATTAGATAATATGGTATAGCCGCTAAGAAATCCACTCCTTTTATTGGTTATATTAGATAAAATTTAACAAATTTAATAAAACAAATCCATATAGAAAAAAGGGTATAATAAATTTTTTGATTTTGAAATCTATTTTTTGGGTGTATAAATAATTTTTGGAAAAAAAAAATAGAATGTGAGAGATTTTGTAGACCTTTTTGTGAGCATTTTTGTGGTATATTTCAGAAATTTTAAAAATGTAATAGTTGAGTAAAAAAAATAATTGTGGTTGGCCTACTAGTAAATTTGGCAGACCTGGCAAGCCTGGACCGATATTTTTATTTGGGAATCTAGGCATATCTTTTTTAAACCCCGTTGCCAAGTCCCTGTTCTTTATAGTTAATTCCGAGCAGGATCAATGGCAGGTCTTCAAAAAATTAGTTATCATTATAACTTCCTTCTTTTCGTGTTTTAATTTTCTATCTATTATCCTTCCCCCAATAGGATTGACAGGTCTACCACACTCAATCCAAGTTACCACAATTCTAACACACTTTTAAAATTTCCAAAATTTACCTTAAAAACTACGATAAGATCTCCCACATTCTAATTTTCAAAAATCGTGTTTCTGAAAAATTTTTTATTTAAAATATCATGTGTTTATGTTATACCCAAAAGAAAATTCAAAATCAAAAAAAAAATGTAATTATATTCTATTGGATCCCTTCTTTCTTAAATTTGATATGTTTTATCTGATAACCAATAGAAGGGTTTTTATATATAATTAGCGTATTGGATCCCTTCTTAAATTTGATATGTTTTATCTGATAACCAATAGAAGGACAGGATTTTATATAATTAGCGTATTGGATCCCTTCTTTCTTAAATTTGCTATGATTTATCTGATAACCAATAAGAGGACGGGATTTTTTATAATTAGCAGCCTATACCTTATTTGTTAAAAATTTAAAATGATAAAACAATCATTAAAATAAAAAAAAATCCTTCCCCCCGTTATGCTACTAATTAGTTACCCTTTTAACCGTGTTGGAGGAGGGTAAAAAAGGAATTTGGGGGGGGGGGGGTGCCACCCAGATATTTTTACAAAATTTATCACAATCGATTAATTTTTACCTAATTAACCCCCCCCCCCCCAAACCCACCGCATTTTCGTTTTTCTTCTCTTCTTTTTTTATATACACTTAAACAATCATGTGAATCAACTTGTAGATTGTCATTCTGATCATTGAAAAAATTCCATTCCGTCATATTCTTCCAATCGTAGTTGTAAGAGATAATAAATTGCGAGGTATATTCAAGAGAGATGTTTAGTTTAACCCTATTTCCGATAGAACAATTGTGACAGGCCTCGATTTTAGGTGTCAATTTAAAAATAAAAATATATACATTTTCATAATAATTTTGTAACGTAATATAGGTAACAGTTCTTCGTTTTAAAATAGTGTGTTTAAATAAAAACATTACAACTAGAAGGGAGAGAAGGGGGAGGGATTAGCACCCTTAATTTAAGATGAGCGCTCTTACATTTAAATCAAGAATTTTAAATGAATTAAAGTTGCGAAAACAGTTATTAAGCCTTGTACTGGTTTGTCTTATTTCCAAAACACTGTCTGTTCAGCTGGCTACATCGCTTTCCCTAAACAGCCTAAAAAGGAAGAGGCTGTTTAGATTTACGTAGGTATAGTGTCTTTGAATAAAAATAAGGTATCTTTGTTATAAAATTTTATGGGTCCTTCTCCTTCCCCAGTATTTTTTTTAAAAATTTTAGGCACCTCCCTAAATAAAAAAAAGTCAATGATACCTCTGATTGAAAAGAATGTCTGTCAATGTTTAATGACGAGAAAATTAGAGAAGTTGCAATATTTGGAGAGGAAGTTTCCAGAATAAAAACATTGCTATTCTAGCTAAATACTTTTCCAAAAAAAATAGTAAGAGGGACCCAATAGTAAAAAAATTTAAAAGGTCATACAACACGATAACATATAATGCTTATACATAAAGATAAACTAAAGATCCATTTTGAAACTTGGTTGAATTCAAATCAGCTGGTGACACGCCAAATTAGTTTCTCGTTTATTTTTCATAGAAATAAATGAAACTCTGAAATTTCTTTTTAAAGTTTTTCATAAAATTTTATAATATAAACCATTTATCTGCAGCTCCGGCTCAACCCTAAGTTAGACCGGGGCAATCGGATCGGAATTTTAATTTTTTTAAATATTCCCTGGTCGAACTAACGTTAAAAATATACCCGGACTAAGTCTAGTCAAAAAATCCGAGCAGGGTCATGCAAATGGTACTTCTAGGAAATTAAAAGGTCGTTGCCACCAGTTATTTTGTATTTGATGCACATTTAAAAGAATAAATCGTTATTCCAAGTAATAATATGTGTAATAAAGCAACACACCTATCAATTTAATTTAATCTATAAAAAAAAATTAACCTACCCCGTGCCCCACCCTTAGGAATTAAAATATAAAAATAGATATATATAAATTTGCCCTATCCCATAAAAATTAAAATGAACACTTTTTATATTTGGCAGACAAAATGTATTGTAACAAAATTTATTTTAATATAAATGAAAAATTGGTCCTCGTTTATAGTAACCACGAAAATAGCGTGACAAAACGCCGCTTCAGAATACCTAATGTCAAATAATAAAACTATGACAATAATGATATCGCTTAGCCAGAGATTACATGCACTTGGTTATCATATTTGTGTCCTTAATTTTGCAAAAAAATATTTAACATGAACTTTCTCAATTAAAAATTAATAGTCTAGAAGACACCATATTTTCAAGTCATCAATTTATCATCAATTTTTCAAATATAATTAAAATTACTTGCATAGTCAAGGCACTTATAGTTAGGGGTTCAGAAAAATTCATCTCTAAAGCGAATCTCGTGTTCCGCTTCTTGTATAAACTCGTGCAGCCTACTATATAAATTCCTGGATCATCCATCTCCGCTTTTCCGTTCAGCCATACGAGCTGATCTTTGAATGTTCTCGTACGTTTATACCTGGTATTATTTTGGGTATCTACAACATAAACGTCATATACAAGACCATGGTTTTCATCCAACAAATTATGACCAGGTCGCTTGCTATCAGTATCCGCTCTTGTTGTCAGGGGAATGTTTAGAATTTTCAAATGGTTGGGTGACTTTGCAAGTTTACTAAAAGACGTAATAGTAATTGTGGTGTTTAATGTTAAACTGGGACGAAAAGATATGTGTTTGGATATAACACTGGTTTTAGTGATGTTAGAATCTTTAGCCTCTAAGGCAAGGTTACTCGTAGAGTTTGAGGTGGAGGGCATAGTAACACTATTGTTTGTAGAAATTGAACCATTTTGAGTGATGTTATTTGTTGAACTGTTTATGGGTATAACTTGATCATTCAAAGTGAAGTAAATAGAGGAGTTATTGGTAATAGTCAAAAATGGAATAGTAAAATTTGAAACCTTTGTCGAATTAAAATCAGTTAAGCTTACGCTCATCAAAATTGGTAAAACAGTCGTAACATTAGAATCGTTGGAATCAGAAAGGATTCTATTAGAGACCGGTAAGTGCAACTTTTTACCCACAAATCTTCTCAAAGACAATCTACTTTTACATTGTCTAAGTTTTTTTACGCAATTATTTCTGTTATGTAGAGAATACGGAGTTGATATCCGACGCCTTGCTTTAATTTTAGAAATTTTTTTCATATTTTTGCGTAGTTTTCGCTCGATTCTATGTAGCTTTCTCAAGCGTTGTAGCAACACTTTATTGCGAGACATGTGTTTGAGAAGGATATTAAAATTGTAAATTTTGTCACCTCTACTATAGGGTGGTTCGGTATTGATGTAATTTTCTATTGACCTTTTAATAGTTACATCAATTAAGTATGCGGGTGTGGAATGAGAATGTGTGGTAGTATTTACCTCCTCAATTTTCACTATTGAGGGAATAGTTACAGCAAATGTTAAGGTGTGAGCCTTGATAACATGATCTAAGAATCCAGACGAAATCAAATTTAGGTAATTTGCAGAGGTCTTAACGTTTATATGCTGTTGAAACTCGTTATCAGTTTTTTCCTCTTTGAGGGCCATAGTGGAATCTATGATGTTTATAGGGCTAATTTTGTATTTGACATGATTCTTGGGGAAATTTTTTAAAATATGATTTAGATTGAGCGGAAAGCGAATTTTCTTTTTATCAGCGTCATCGTTTCCTCGATAGTTCAACTCATGGTAAGTATGTATTTTTTTCTTGATAGAATCGGCAAATTTTTTTAACTTAATTTTGGTGTCTTTACTGGCAGACAAAAATGGGTTGGATAAGTCATGGGAGTGGCCGGTTTCATTGTTCATACGATATTGTAAATTATTTGGTCTCATCAATTTTTTAATTTTATATGCCCTCGAATAATTGTAAGGGGGGACCATGTTATTTATGCAAGTTATAACAAACGAACTCTCCGGGAAAGTTGTTAGCGGCAAGGCTCTGTTGATATACGACTCGGTAGTAAGAATGCTATTGTTTCCTGATCGATATTTTTTTAAAAATAAAATATATTATGTTTGTCGTAGTAGGTGCTTAAAGAAAATTAGGGCTATGCCAAAATAGACTCCGGGTTTTTAGCATATTTTAGGGAAACTTGAAACATGTATAGTGCGTATATTTTTATAAAAAAATTTCTAAGAACCAGATTATTCCTGAATCGCATTCCAGGATAGGGTACTGCAAATTTTAAAACAATTTCGCCATAAATTTTTTGTTTATTTCTTTTTTTAATTTATGCGAAAAAATAATAATATTGAAGTAAGAAAAATTAATATAGTTCGAAAGTTCAAGGCAAAATTGTTCTCATACTAACAGGGTAAGCTTCACGCCCATTGGAATATTATTCCAGCAATAATTAAGTCTTTCAAAAAATTTAAAAAAAAACGTAAGGTGTAAATATATGCGCAACTCCTAGGACGGACATATATCATCGGTCTGGATTTGGAGTCTCCACTTGACATTTTTAAGATTCTAGATTTAGGAGTGGATTAATAATTGATTAATTTCCACTAAATTTATAGATAAAAAACTAGATGATATTGATTTTTGGCCACGTTAAAGCATTCTCAATTTTGGATCATCGTAATTTTGGCTATATTATAAACTATCTATGATATTTATCATATTTTATAATCACCCGTTATGCAAATTTTTTGAAATTTTATAAAATAAATTATCCCAAACTATGTATGGAAAACATTATCAGTTAAATATTGATATAATTAAACGAAATTAATTATTTCTATAAATAAATTAGAATTGAATAAAGATTGCATATGTCTACACAATAAGTATTGCTAAACAGTTCGATTTGAGCCTATTTTTAAAAAAATGGATAACTCATTATTTCGCTAATAGATGTCCATACCTTTTGTACCATCTATGAGCAAAATCTTCAGGCTTATGTTATATTTTTCTGGATAAAATATTGTGTGAACCGTTTTTTTTTAAAAATCAATTGAAACTTGTAACAACACTTGTCTAAGTTATAAATTTGATGATACATCATAGTTACCTCTGTTTATTTTTCTTTTATTTAATAAATTCTTCATAAATATAATTAAAAATTCTCCCTAAATTGGAGAATATAAAGCTACCACAAATAAACTAAACTTTCCGATGACCAAACTTACACAATTTAAAAAAATTAATTAGTTAGTTATATACCTAATGCAATTTACCTTCATCCCCCATCTCCATCAATATAAAAGCATCAATCAAATTCGAGGGCACCATATTCTCAAACAATTGTTTATTATGATCTGAAGAATTTCCACCCGCATTTCCAGAATCAAACGACGATATCACTTTGTTCACATCCTTTGTATCTAAAAAATGTCCATATTTTGCTTTGAGTACCTCTCTACTGGGCCTCGTCGAACGCGGGAAAGCAAAATAGGTATCGAATAACGCGTTTACCAGATTCGAATTCATGCCCAAAAACTTTTGGTATAAACTGTCATCTTCATCCTTCGTGTTTATGACATTAGACCAGTTCTTATTCACGATCAAGATTAGAAGTATGATTAATAGCCTGAATAATTCATTTATCTTTGTTGTTGTTACACTATCGTTCGAGTTGAATTCGAATGAAACCATATAATATTATACAAAAGATTTATCATAAAAATCATGCCTTTAAAAAAAAAGAAATACCAATTATAATAGGCTTTAAACCATAATAATTTTTTTTTTAATATGTGCCACTTTGCTTTTTTTTTCGAAAATCGATTTCTAAATATTTAAAAAATGTTTAATTATTAATTAAAAATATTTATATACCATTTAAATTATAAGGCAAGGTTTATTCTGAAATATTAGCGTTTGATAAGATTATGTATGTTACTGTTAGTGTTAAATGTAAGTTAGGAAAAGCGCTTAGGGTAGAAAGGATGAGCCAAACGTTTAGAAAGCTGAACCCCCCTCTCCCCCCCCCCAAAAAAAACAGTTCCTTGTAGGTTTTGGAATATATTAAGAAAGGCAAGATAAATTTGTATAGCTATTGTAATTCTTATGTTGATTTTATTTTTATTCATAGTGTTGCGTATTTGACCGTTAATTAAGTTTTATGAATTTTCTTAAAAATATAAAAGGTTGACCTTATAGGTAATATAGTAAATGTTACAGTGGCGTATCCAGGATTTTCCTATAGGGGGAGAATTTTTTTGGGGCCTTTGCCCACAAACCCCCTTTGGCCAGCTTTTTTCCTACCTTCGGCCGGGTCATATCTTTGAGCTATTCTTTTAAATTATTCATAATTCAATAATATAATATTTTTAACTTTTATTTGAATTTTGGTTCCTTTTATAAATTAATTATTTAAGAAATTTTTTTTTTAAAAAATTTTTAAATTTAGCATTTATTAATAATATAATAGACAAATTAAATCTGACAAAATGATAGTATAAAAATAAAATCATGTCCAAAACATATTCTAGAAAATTCAAAAAATTTAACAAACAAGGACTTCATAATACAAAGTATAATAATAGATATAATGGAAATATAATTAATGCAAATTATTATATGAGGAAGAAGGGGGAGGGGGGAATTTTAAATAATTTAGGGAAGAGAAAGAAAATCTAGATTAATCGGGCTCCTCGGGGAATGAACCTATGAACCTATGAAGCATGTGAAATTAGATTTTATAATCTGAATTCCTATGCGTTGACGTAAGTAGACGCTTTCTTTTGGGTATCCTGATTTATTTACTAATTCACGCTTATGAATATAAGAAGAAATAAAGGTTATAACACAATTTTTATTTTAAGTTAGGTATATTATAAATAAATTTTTTTAAAAAAATATAAAATTGAAATAAATTTTGTTTTTATGAAATTTGCTTTAAAAACTAGCCTCAGAATTCCCATATAATATAAATATAAATTTTTTTTTATTGAAAATATTAATCGTAGTGTGTATAAAATATTGACTAGAAAATTTTTTAAAGAACAAGTTTTTATATTTTATTATTAAATACTAGAATTATAATGCGATTTTTAATTTTCGTGGGAAATTTGCCAATTCATCAAGAATTTTCTTTGTCGTTGGAATTAAATCTATGTGGATATTAAACAGAGCTAACCCATTTAGCCGAGAAGTAGTATTTTGTAAATAAGTTTTCAACCATCTCAATTTTAATCCTTTCATTCGTATATGTTGTAATAGGCAAGCGCAAGAATATTAAATACCTTCAAAATATTTGGAAATTAAGCCAAGGTTTCCTTATACCGATTGAGCGCATCAATAGCATGCTCAGGTAAAATATTAAACGTAGTAAATATTTATACCACAATTCGAATTCACTGATTAAATTGATTTCAGTATCCATATCATAGGAATAAAATTTTTCTAAATATTTAATTTTACCAATAATGGCATCAGGAAACGAAGAATAGTCTTTAGGTAATAAAATTTGAAGATTACCAAAGACTTGTTTTTTGTCTAAAAACCCTACTTTAATTTGCGATAAAAAAGAATCTAAGAATGAAATGAAATTGGATATTTTATAATATTCTATAAGATATATAAATATTATGAAATATCTACATTCATTCTTCCTGTCCACATTTTCCTCCAAATCAATAACTTGAACCAAATCGAAATTTGGTTTTTGTAAATTTCTACGTAGTAGTGAGCTATCGGAAAATAATTTATTAATGCAACTAGCAGTTAGGATAAACTATGCATGATATTGAAAAATTTTGACGAAGCAGGGGGCGGGGTCGGGGGTAAAATTTTTATTAGCTTAAAATGATATTTAGAATAACAGTCAAATTTGCTACGGGGGGGGGGTGAAATCCCCCCCCCCCCCATTAGTTACGCGCCTGAAATGTTATATTTTATTTTTAAGTTGTATAAATTTGATTATCAACTAATTTTAATTTATAATATGGAAATGATGATATATTCATATAGAGGATATAAGTAGGCAGATTTTTCTTGTATTAAAATCTACCTTTTAATGTAATTTTTTTTACAAATTTAATTATTATTTTAGGTGGAGTCCATGTCCCATTATTTTGACCTTGATCTATAATACCTTCGTGGACCTATTAGGCATTTACAAATGGCCACCATGGTTTAATCTAATCCTTGGGATTTCACATTTAGTACGAATTCGCTGCAAAGAACACAAAAATACAGCATAAACAATAATTATTAGAATTTAAATAAAAATATACTTCAAAAAAAAATATAGTTGAATATTAATAACGAATGTTAAAAAAATTTATTTTAAATATTAAATAAATATTTAGTAAAAATGCCTACAAAATATTTTCAAAATTTTTTTTAAAAATAATATACAAATATTTTGATCAATACTTTTTTAGAAAAAGATTCTTGTAGTATACCAATAAGAATTTTCAAAAATTATGTTAATAATAATATCCTATCGAAAAATTTGCGACTTATCAACTAAATTATAGATGCCGAAACGAGTTATTATTTTCGCTTTCATAATTACTATTTATAGATGCAAGTTTTCACCATTTCTCCATCTTTGTACCAAATTTAATATAAAAAAAATACATATTAAAATATAGAAAGTCTTAGTCATTTTAATGGTATAAATCCCTAATATTCACGCCCTTCTCACTGCCCCTCATTCACTTATATAAGTGTATTTTAAATGACATTGATAATCACCTTAATATTTAAAAAAAGAAAACTCCGACGTGTTAAAATTTTTTTACGAAACACTGCCGAGGCCGATTCAAGAAAATAAATCATATAATGGAGTGTTTTATTCATTTATTACGTTTATATTCAAATTCCTTAGAATAAGAGGCAAAATTTTTTGAAATAACAATAATCTCATATATTATTCCTTGCTGTCTGCCAATGAGTCTTGCTCTCTGTGCAACAACGGAATGCAGTGCAGCGCTCGAGGGTTTTTTTTGTTTTAATAATATATCACAGTGGAACAGAATTATGATAAAACATAAGTTTTTCCTTTATTATTGACCTTGAAAGATATTTTGAAGGACCTTCCATAAGATTTAAATGATACATCTATGCTAAAAATTATCTTATGAACATTATTTTAACTTAGTGGAACTGGAATCTAGTTATCTATATGATAATCAAAAAAAATTATTTATTCACTTTCAAGTGGGTACGTTACTAATTTTAATAATATAAATAAACAAATAAGATATTTATTACGTTTCCCTAACTTGAATAACAAAATCGATATTATGAATAAGTGGATTTTACATTTATAATTAAATTTATATTAATAATATAATATACAATAAAAAAAAACTAAAAGTATCTTATTTATTTTAAATCATAATAAATATCATTTTATAATTTTCATTTAAAATACAAATACTAACTACTCTCAATTATTTAAATAAATACTAAATACAATTACAAGAAAATATCTGTATTAGGATTTAATACGAGTATCTGCGCCTCTACCCAACTCTAGCAATAATGGACTCAATCTTTTGAAATCTGTGCTAATTAGGTTAAAAAATATATATAACCTAAGCTCGATGGCTAACCGATGTCTTAATATTATCTAATAATAACCAACGGTGACTCAATAGCAGTCGGAAAATTAAAATTTTCTAATTTTTGCCTATTATAACTTTCTAAAATTCTTATCAACTTCCAATATCAAATCATCATTTAATCTTATCTGTTCAGATCAGCCTACCATTAACCCTTAAAACAACCACAACATATGGCTGAAATTTATAATTCAGTATATTTACCAACATTTATGAAATAATCATGTTTACTAATTGAAAGAATTGGTTAATAATTTAATTTATTGTGTTTATAGTTTATGACAATGCAAAAAAAATCATAAATTTTGAATTAAAATACTATAATATTGATCAATATTAAGATTTTTAAAGTGATTAAATGATTTATTATATTTGAATAAATGTAATTTATTTATTATTTTAATGCAAATCTGGGTTGAATAGCTCCCAATGTTGTAGTGGTTGCTTGTTCAACGGTCCCTTTATAAAGTAAAATAAAAAAATTAAAATCTTATTATATTTGATAGAAGGTAATTATCCATATTCTAATAATCTTTTTCATAAGGGAATAAAACTTTCTGTATCATGGTCAGTTCATTTACTATTCATAACAATTTTCCTGTTAACCTCCAGTATAATTTTATTTAGAATAAAATAATTTATCATGTAAGTTAATTGACTAATTCTATATTTTTTCAAGTTTGTAGTGGATTTTTGCCCAGTGAAAAGAGATAAATTTAGAATTTTATCATGTAATTTTAAAGAAATATTTTTGGATTTATGGGCCCTACCCGGGTTTAATTATTTTTATTTTAACTGTTGCCAGCACAGATAAAAATCATAACATCAAACCCTGATTTTTATTTAAAATATTCTTAATACATTAAATTTGGTAGGAATTCATACGTTACATCGGAATTGCATAAATAGGCAATAAGTGTGATCCCTTACAAAACTGCCTGAAATTTATCCGGTAAAATAAGATTTTTTAACCTTGTTGAGCACGTCTTAAAATTTTAAAATTCTAATTCCGAAAATGTACTGCATATACGTGTTTAATACCTTACCTAATCATAACTAAATTTCATAACACTTTGATCATAAACTTTTGAATTAACTTATATATTGGCGATACAAAGATCGACTGGAATCTAAATCAAATTGCCTGATTGCGCATCTTACCGGCAATATATTATTAGAGACCTTCATGGACCTTAATTTTTTGTATCCAAAAATTTAATTTAATATAAAATTAACAATATTTAAGTGTATTTAGGAAATCATTTTGTTTACAATACTGAGATTTATTATTATTAGAAGAAAAAATGGCAAATTTATTTTGATTAGCAGCTAAATTTAAATTTAATTTTTAGACCAAGCCCAGTCTATCCCATTAAACCTAGGCCCACCGGCCCAGGCCCAGCCCGCTAGAAAATATTATATTACGGCTCATGGGCTGGGTATAGACTTGTGGGGGTCTCTGATATTATTAAACATATTATATTTCTTATTAAATATACTTCTACGTGCTCCATCACTTGACGTAACTATAAAAATATTATGTAGTAAATTAATTATTCATTCAATAATCCATACCTAATAATATCGTTATCACCAATATCTATATTATTTATATAAGAATATTATAATAAAATATGTTAATTTAAATAGGCATTTACCCAGTTAAAAAGGAGGATAAGTATATTTCTCATGATACTTAAATTTAATGTTCTTGGCTTTTATAATATACTAATTTTAAAAAATAAATTATATAAATTAGAAATTATTCGAATTATTAGATCAAAAATATGTATTTATAATGTATTTTTTTAAATATATCTAAAATAAATTTGGCCATTATTTCCAAAACAAATATCAAATTTGACAATCAAGGTGATATTTAATTACACATTTAAATAGATTATGACAAACATTTAAAAGTAAAGCTTTAATCATTTATGAAATTGGCTTTATTTTAATCGTAAATAAGAATCGCATAAAGGTGTCAAGGCTAAAGATAATATTTTCGATAATTTTCTGCAAAACGGATAAAATGCTACCGAAATCATGTCAAAATAATTTGAATTGGCGACTAACAAATTCAAAAAATATATAAAATTATTTTTTTGGCCACGTTTTTTAGTCCTTGAAACTTAAATCAATTAACATTGTGGAGTGTGTGGAATTCGCTCATGAGTTTTTGATCTAAAAGATCCAGGAGTTGTTAAATAATAAGAGCCCCATACCCATAATTTTTCACTTAAGGGAATACCAAAGAAGATTTTTTATTGTTGAAAATTTGTATATATTATCGTCAATGTGTTTTTTTCCGGCAGTATCTTATTTTTTCAACTTTAAATTATTTTTTGAGAGTCTTTTTTTTGAATTTAAAAATCTGATTTTACCTGAAATGTATTCCATCATGTTTGGAATACCTACCTTATGAATTTCAGGTAATTTTGTCATGAAATTTTGAAGTTAATATAATTTATATTATTTTTTCCATTGATTTCTTATATAAATTATGAATGACTCAATAGTAAAATTATCTACAATTCATAAGATAGGTTTTTTTAAACATGCTAGAATACATTTTCTGTAAAAATTAAAAAAAACGTGCTCAAAAAAAAACGATTTAAAGTTGAAAAAAAATAACATATTGCCGGAAAAAATACATTTGAGCTAGCAATTATAATTCTTAGATTCATTTTAAAATATAAAATTAATTTATTATATTCAACATTATAGGAATCACGTTGATAAATTCGGGTAAATAAAGTTTTGTAATATGACTAATGTAATTCGCTCAGATTTAATTATAATTTATTTAATAATTGCATAAAAATTTATGAACTGTTTTTATAAAATTAAATTTGTATACTATTCTATCATTGTTGTGCGTTTCAAAATCATAAGCTATATTTGAATAAATATAAATATTAGTTTATATAATACCCTGCCAAAAGCAAAATTGAATAATTTTTTATAATATTTTGTAATAAATTAGGTAACCTTCTTTTTTCTAACCATTTCGAATCACTTCTAAAAAGAGTTTAAATTTTAAATAAATAGTATTCATGCGTGCTATGATGAACCCTCTAGCATGTTATACAGTATTTCCACACTAGGAGGGGTGGATAACTCACGTTTTTAGGCGCTAGCAGTGCAGGCCGCTGCTGATAGAAGCAAGAAAAAAATATTTTGAGGAGCGCCTCATTTGGATTTTTTTTAAAGATTTATGATATTTAATTAAGTTATTGACATCGCTGGGCTTATTTTATAAATAATTATACACGGCGTATAAAATTTTCCTTCTTTTCTACCAATCACAAAATCATGGATTGACCTTTTATAGTTATTAAACCTCATAAATAATAAATTTATATTTAGACATGATTATCTTCTAAAGGAAGGATATTTTGTGTGATTGTGATTAAATATAGTTACATTTTTGCAAAAATATAATTAATTAATTTTAAATAAATTGGAAAGTAATGTTAAAAGTTTTCAAGTTACTTTTTAAAATTTGTTAAATATTTGTTATATCTCATTCATTGTCTTTATATCATGAGCGTCACTAGCCCTTACATAGGCGTAGCCATGGGGGGCAAGGGAAAACCCCACCCCCTGCCCCCCCCTCTTTTAGAAATTTATCACTTTTGGTGAATATCATTTTAAGTTAGTAAAAAATATCCCCCTTAGTCCTCCCCCCACTCCCTGATCCCTAAAAATGTATGCATATATCTTAAATAATAATTCGAAAGAAGGAATGTAAAAGTTGATATTTTTTTATAAAACTATTCATCATAATTTATAGATTATGGAAAAAAGCATTTATATATAAAAAAAGTGAACCAAAAAGGTTTTTTAAGAAATGGAATATAAGCCAAAGATAAGTCTTAAGACAAAAGTGAAATGTATATAATGATTAATAAATGATCCATAAAATTACCAAATAATATAATATATCAAATATAGTTTTGTATAAAGTGAGTAATTTTAATTTATTTATTTAATAAAAGTAAAATATAATTATAAAACTATTAATAAAATTAAGTAAAAAAATTAAAGCACAATAACAATGGAATATTATATGTCGTAGATTTACAGTATATCTAATTTAATCTATCATATGACAATCAAATAATTTTTTACCAATATAACGAATTATATATTTTACAGAAAACTATAAAATATTGATAAGGAAAATATCTTTTAAAGATATTGTGGGATAAATAATATGAGGATTAAATTTTAATATCATTTTTTATTTAAATTAAATAGATGGCGTTTAATAATTGAATGCAAATTGTTGCTATATTTATTATCAAGAGCATTGATTCTTAAAATTTGTTAAAATATTAAATGTAATATATTCTCTAACTATCAAATATGTCTGTAAAAGTGAAATTTTACCTAATATTTTTTAACCAATTCTATATAATAGAGGAATATCAACTATATATTACTTACTTTTTATAAATAAATTTCTTATACTTGTTTGGAATAGATTATTACCATGCTTTTATATTAATGTATATACAAATAATTTATTATATTTTATATAAACTAATAAAAATATATTTCATATTTGTTCCAGGCTTAATTTTAACCTCCTATATTAAAAAATATTTTATGACTATATATAGACTAAAGTAACCCGGGCCTTGCCCAAATGGAGTCTGGGGGATTCGCTCTTAGAAATTTTTTAATCCCCCTCTTAGGAAAATCTTGGCTATGCCTATGAGCCTTTTCAATCTCAGGAGGCTCAATAAAAATTTCTTAAATTATTTTCAAATTACATTTTTTTTAGCCAACATTATCTAAAATTGCCTTTTTTTTAGCTAATTTACCTTAAGTTGGCTAAAAAAAAATAAAATTTTGAGGGGGCTCTTCAAATTTAAATGACTCGAGCCCTGCACCCCTCTCTCCATAGTGACGCTACTGCTTATATGATAATTTATCAAATTTAAAATTACTATATATTCCGGATCTAGGGAGGCTTATTTTTAGATAGCATGTCTTTCACTAATTTTAAAAATAGTTTATTGTTTACAAGAAATCAAATAAATTTATTAAGCTCAAATTTATAATAGTATATTTGTGTTATTTATAAATTTTTTTTAAGTGCAAATAATTATTTATTTTGATATTGCTTTCCAATGGAAGTTAATATGTCATAATACTTATTTTCCCTGCAATTATTATGTTTCATCTAATTGTATTTAAATTCTTCTAATTTAAATTTGTAAATTGCTAAATAATTTTGATATAAATTAATATGTTTTTAGTTACTTTTAAAATAAAACTAGCCAATAATTTTTAAAAGTAACTATAGTAGTACTTTTTATTTTGGACTTTTATTTATAATTTTATATTAACTATTTTTATATTGTTTTGCGGGTGCTATAAATAAAATATTTTATTTATCTTTAAATGTAAAAGTTAATATAATGGAAAATTTATATATTAACTTTCTTTTGTTAAATAATTTAACAAACTATATAAATGATATTATTTTACACCATTAGGAATATAACTTTCAAAATGATTTAATTAGAATTTTACCGTTGTTTTATTTAATAAAGATACTTCTGATATTCCTAATTCGAGCTAACTCCTCCATAACTTAAGACGATATATTATTTTACTCATTCATTCAATTCTTCCATTAAATGTTTTGCCCAAAATTCAAAATCCAAAATTATACTGACTAATTGTAAATAAAGGGAAATGTTTTTACTTGTATTTTATTATTTATCATTGCTATGATTGCATTTTATAGATTACTTTAATTTTATAAACCACTATTCGGTGCTCAAAATAGAAAAGATAAAAGTAAAGGAAATAAATAAAAAAAAGCACTAAAAGAGATATATTGTTATTTTGAAATATCAATAAATCTAGATTAATACTCGTTGGGAATTGAAAAAAAATCAAAGGAGTGAATATGAAATAATACTTAAAACATTTGGGCCTTAAATTATATTTGATAATTAAGAAACTCTTTGTAGTTAATTGCATCAAAACTTATAAACCTAAATTATCAACTCAACCCCTCAATAATAGCCAGGCAAATATAAATTCAAAATACAAATCTGAGATTTACATTATATTTAATTTTATCTAATATTATATGACGATCAAATAATTTATGCGTGTCGAAGATTAATATTATTTTCATAATTCCTTTGTTATGAAATAAATTTAACGAGTTTGGAATTGAGAAAATGGACAAGAGGGAAAAAATGGGAAGATTTTAAAATGTTGCCGGAAATCAGGACGAAAGCGCCAAAGTATGCGGAATTTAACTAAACAAAAGATTTTTTATTTACATTTATACTAATTTATTAAAAAAAATTAAATTAAAAAAATGCACAGCGCAATTACAGGATAAAAATTTTTAATATAATATAATTAAGGTTGAAAGTTTTAAAATGAAAAATTAATTTGTGTAAAAAAAGATCAAATTTTTTTGAAATAATTATATTTTCAAGAAGCAATATTCAAAATCGGGTCCTTTAAAAATTATAAAAGAAATGTTAAGATAAGATTCTTTAGATATATATATCGGATCATTATAATAAAAAAGACAGGATGTCTGATCTATGTAAACAAAATTTTAACTTGGATAATAAGAGTTATATTACCAGATATTTTATGGTTATTTGATGGAATAAAATTGTTATTTTGGTATAGATTCCAATCATTAAATAATTTAAAAGGGGTTGGGATATGTTGGAAATTTTTATGGTTAGGGTAAAGAAATATTGAAATTTTCTAAAGTATTTACTGTGAGAAAGTTTAA